CGGAGCATTCAATGATGTCACTAAACGGTGATGCCACAACTAAGAGCATCGTTCACAAGTTTCTGCACTAGCTTAGGGCACAGGTTTTCAAGCCCTGGGACAAAATGGGATGCTTTAAGGAAAATGTATAGCCTATGTAAGTAATAGACCTAAAATAAAAATAACAATTTGTTTTCATAAAAAAAAAAAAGTGAAATATATCTGACTTAAATAATTAAGCTAACAGATTTATAACAGAAGTGTGGCGCGGCGCTCCATAAACAAGTTCACGGAAAGGAAAGGATGACAATGCGCATTCTGTTTGTTTGCTTTATTTAGCAAAAGCACAAATCTTGTTTTTATTGTGAGTGTGCAAAAATAAAAGTAAACAATTTTGCGGATTATATCTTACTCCAAAAATGGAGTTTTTTATGTTTCAGCTGTTCGATCGCACCGGCGCCTCGCGCGCGCACACCCCCCCCCACATATTCTCAATATTACTGCTTTTGCTGTATTTTGGATCAAATAAATGCAGGCTTGGTGAGCAGAAGAGACTTCTTAAAAAAACATAAAAAATCTTACTGTTGAAAAACTTTTGACTGGTAGTGTATATGTTTCTTTTTAAAACATAAAATCAAATATCTATCAGCATATGGGTCTGCTTTTTGTTTTATATTGTCGGTGTGTGTTTGGGATCTAGGTCTCAGTGTTGTAAATCACATTAAGAGCTCAGACACACAGAACTAACCGGGCTCTCGCTCAGCTCCTCGCTCTCCTGCGCCTCAGGGAATCGCGAGGTCGATAAGGCAGGAATGCTTGCTAAGCGGGGCGGGTTGCCGACGCTGAAGAGGCGGGGCCGCTTGACTTGATCCTCACTAGACAGTGGCGTAAAGCTGTTCCTACCTGTATCAAGCAAAAAGTCAATCTCTTTCTCTTGTATGCTACCTTTCACAAAAATAATTTTGTCATTGTGATGGATTACAGGGGAAATTAAGCACTCACAGCCCTAACAGTTAACACCTGAGCAAGCTGCTCCAACAGTTCGGTGAAGTGGGGAGGGGCTGCTTCAGAGTAGTAAGTAGACGGAGTAGGAGCTGAGTAAAGCTGTTAATTTCTCCTAATGTTTTCTTGCTTTTCCTACACTCTTTCATCCAGTGTCCAGGTTTACCACAGTAATGATAACTGCCCTCCCTCTTAGGATTTTTACGTTTCTGTCGGTTCTCTGTGTTGACCTGAAAGGATACTGCTGCAATCTTTACTCTGGCTTTAACATCAGAGTCTCTTTCCCATGTAGCTAACCTGTCCAAGTTGTTTTGCAAACTTCCAGTGGACCATGTTAGATCTAAGAACGGCAAAGCAGATCTGTACTCTGATAAAAGGCCATCAAACCATGCTCTAACTAGTGGTCCTTTACGATCCAGTACCTTCTCTAGAGTGTCAGCTATTCCACTGTATGCTGCAGCTGACTGACAAAACCTTTCAGTGTATTCACTCACAGTTTCTTCTTTCCTTTGCACACAGTTAGTGATTCTGGACCAGTCTATTTTGGGTCCCATGATATTCTTTAGAATTTTCAAAACACCTCCTCTCAAATCGCCTTTACTCGCATGTTGTAGTTCAGAAGTAACAGCAGACTCAAAACTGTTGAATTCAGATTCAGTTAGAATTTGTGACATCAGCTGTGTGACTTCTGATAATGACATGTCGTAGAGACGCATTTTGCTGATCAATGCTCTTCTAAATTCAGAAAAATTTGTGCGTGCTGAGGGTAAGCTCTGGGATAGTCTCTCTATATCTTTAGGTCCTAGTGCTTTGGCAACAGTTTGTACTTGGACAACAGAAGAGTTGGGAGGAACACTTTCAATTCCCTCAATTCCCTGAGATCTTCTCCTAGCGCCACATACCTTCACTGAATCTACAGGCACATCAGTTACTGATTGGATGGCTACATCTGTTTCAAAGAAAGCTTGTAAGTCAGGATAATTGTTATCAGGCTGACTAACTTCTTCCACATCAGTTATTTCTGCAGCTTTGTTGCGGTTAATTTTCTTAGTTAAAGAGGATACTCTAGCACGGAGCTCTTTGTTCTGTTCCTCTAGCTCCGAGTTGCGCTGAGACTGTTGTGTAGCTAGCGCTAAACCAAATTCTCTGTGGCAGCAGATAATGCCTTTCACATTGTTCTTGCGAATACATGCTCCTAGTACCTTTTTACACTCACATCTCTAATATATATATATATATATATATATATATATATATATATATAGTTGAAGGTATAATACTATACCAATGGTAGTAAAATAACAGTTTAATTGCTATTTAAATGACAAAAAATTGAACTTGTATCACAGACTGATTTTCTTAGATCTCAAAATGTTTATCAATAAATTAGCATGACATATATACTTAGTCATAACTATAACAGTGCTATAGATATTGTGATGCAATCAAACCAGAACACAAAATGTATTTTCTATAACACATTACATTAAAATAAAGGACTTGGCTCCGAGGAAAATGTGTTTTTTGGATCCAAGAATCTGCACTCACAGAGATCTGTTGTATTTTTTAGGCTTTGATTTGGTTACACTTTGGCTGCGAAGCAAAGGCACTTACAGATCTGATCATATCCGATCATGCAATCACACTCATATTTGCATTCAAATGGAATAACAAGCTGCAAGTAGCAAGAGCAATGCAGCCTCTGATTCTTAACAGGCCATCATATTCATAACATTCAACATACTTTCTGCGTATTAAAGTCAGAAATGTACAAATCTGACAACTTGAACTCAAATTATAATTAAAAAACAATTTAAAATACCCTTTAAAAGCATCCTTCCAGATCTGATGCAAGATAAAAGCATGTATAAATAACGTTGTATCATGAAAGATAGTCTAGCTAAATGATAACTAATATAACAGTACGAGTTTCAATTAGGGCTGGACGATATGGCCAAAATTGATATCACAATATATTTCTTAATTTCGGTCGATACGATATAATTCCGATATCGATATGAACACTATTTATCTGAAATAGAAATCTTTTGTAACATTATAAATGCCTTTATCATCACTTTTGATCAATGTTAAGCATCCTTGCTAAATAAAAGTATTAATTTCTAAACTCTTTTTTTTTTTTGTTCTAAAGTGCAAAAACCTTCTGTTTTCCATGTTATATAAGCTCTTTAAAAATCTGAGCGGAAACTAAACATGTTGATGCACATTAAATTAAAGCTCAGGCTGGAGGGAAACTCCCCCGACTGCCGCCCAACAGAAGATGCTGATCTCATCCTAAAACTACTCATCCAAAACAATATCCAGCCATAAGCCAGGACTATTCTGAGACAGGACGACAATCGCGCTGACCACAGACCTGTGGTTTGTGTTTTTCAGGCAAACTCCCACCTCCAGACTTGCACTGCAAAAACAGACCACTCTGCCAGCCTTTAGCGTTCTGTTAAAAGAGTTCAAGAGGTTGTTGTTGCTTTGAGGCTCCTCCACTGCTGATTTACTCAAGCTGTTCGTGTTGGACAGACCGCGAGATCACAGGACACACGTGATTCCAAAAATATCATAATAGAATTAACATCCAGAATCGTTCTGCACAAATAAAGTTTGAGAACTTATTTTCTGTTTAAACAAAAACACATTTCCCTAAAGAAGGGAAACAGCATGCTACTAAATGCTTGCTAGTAATAACAGTGAAGCCTGTTTTAGCAAACACCACAAAAACGGTTAGTCTGGTACTGGTTATACTTCTCCTTACGAGTGGTCTGTCCCGGTGTGTGTTCACAGCTTCTACTTTCAGGTCAAATATGTCGACTTTACAGCCTGCAACAGAAAACAAACAAGAAGTATTGAAACAAATCTGAATGTTACTAGAGTATCTAAATCTCTTAAAAAACATCATGAAAATGTATTGTATTTATTCATTTCATTAAGATATTTTATTATATTATTAATTATAATTTATAAACACACACACACACACACATATTATATATTAAAACAAATAGTTCAAATAAATGTATATGTATATATTTAAAAGTAATGTTTTAATGCTTTTTATTAAATATATATTTAAATAAGTATAGATTTCAACAAATTTTATTTTGATTTAAAATTGTATCTATATATATATATTAAACCAGAAAACGTTAAAAAATATTGCTCTTTAAGATGGGCCTTAGTGAATGAACAACACGTACCATAAGCCACTGGGGTGAGTTTCAGGACCACATGAAGGGGACACTTCAGATACGGCAAATCATCTGTACAATAGAAGCACACCAAAATATGAGAAGATCTGCTGACATTATGAACACATATTTGAGTCTAAGCGGTCATGCATGGAAGAGTTTTGCTCAGGAATATCAACAACTTCATCTCATAGAGCTTGTTAGAGGATCTTCTTAGGACACTTATTACCTGAAAACCAGCCGTCAGAAACCTACATACTCGTGTCTCTCATTATAGTCATCAGTAAGTCACAAGAGGCCTGATATGATTTGAGTGTGTGTGTGTGTGTGTGTG